ACCACTTTATAACATTTAGCGTTAGTTTTTCATATAAAAATTTTACCTTCTCACTAAATCCCTCTATCCATTGTCGACAATAACCTAATAATCCTAACAGCTGTTGAACCTCCCTTTGTGTTCTTGAGGCAGGTAAGGCTATGATTCCTGCCACTCGATCTGGATCTAATTTCTTTCTCCCTTTACTAATCCAGTGTCCCAAGTATTTCACTTCCAGTTCTGTAAATTGCAATTTAGATTTTGAAACTTTCAATCCCTTTTCTCCGAGAAAATTCAATAGACCTATAGTGTTCTCTTGGACTTCCTCTTCCGATTTTCCAGCTATCAACAAATCATCCACATATTGTAGGAGTTTTACATTGCCCTCAGTTTCGAAGGACATTAACAATCCCTCCAAAGCCTGTCCAAACAAATTTGGTGATTCAGTAAAACCCTGGGATAATACTGTCCATCTCAGTTACTGCTTTCTACCTGTCTCCAGATCCTCCCACTCAAAAGAAAAATAATCCCTGCTCTTTTCTGCTAAAGGACAAGCCTAAAAGACATCTTTTAGATCAGTTACACTGTACCAGGTATGTCCTGGTGAGACATGATTCAATAAGGTGTACGGATTTGCCACCACTGGAAACCGGGTAACAGTTCTCTGATTAACTGCCCTTAAATCTTAACTAACCGATAGCTCCCATCTGATTTCCTGACCGGTAAAATTGGAGTGTTATGCAGTGACATACAGGGTTCTAAAGTTCCTTTCTGTACTAATTCTTCAATTATTGGTTTCAATCCTTACCTTCCTTCCAAGGAGATCTGGTATTGTCTGACCCTAATGGGCTCCCTTGGGTTTGTTATTTCTACTTCCAGTGGTTCAATGTCTAACTTTCCTATTTCTCCCTTATTATGCCAGACTTTTAAATGATTTCGCTCTTCATCCTTTTCTGTTGATATAAGTTTACAGTAATCGCTGCCTTTTCCACCTCTAAATTTATTCCTAACTTTATCGTCCTAATAGGTTACTCTCTGCTTCCTCCACTAGCAGAAAATCTCCTATACAAATTTTCTTTTCAGATTCAATTTCTACGTTTTTGATAACAGGGACCCTAAATGGTTCCCCTTTTGCGCCTACTACTAAGGTGGTATCTTTACTTATCTGACGTCCCATAGGAATATGCCAAACCGTAGATCTTTCGGCTCCAGTATCAACTAGAAATATTATTTCTTCTCCCTGGGGACCTATCTTTAAATTTATCAAGGGCTCTGATGATGTTCTTGTCCCCAGAATATATAGACCCTGACACCCCTATTCCTCCTCTTTAAACATCTTCTCATCCTGCATCCGCTTTCTACAATTTCTCTTAAGGTGTTCCTTCTTTCCACAATAATAACATTCTGGTACCTCTTCAGAGAGGGTCCTAGTCTTTTCCCTCTGTTCTGTCTGTTTCCTTTCTGGATACCCAGGTCCTGAAACCTTGGGTATTGATCTTGGCTGTTCTCATTTCTGAGTTTCTCACACTGCCACTACAAATATTTTTGCCTTTGCTTTCTCTTTCTCCTCATCCCTCCGTACATAGACTTTCTGGGCTTCTCTCAGCAATTCCTGCAATCCACAATCTTGCCAATCATCTGATTTCTCTAACTTTCTTCTGATATCCCCCCAAGCTCGTGCTACAAATTGGGTTTTTAAAAGTGCTTCTCCTACCGGGGAAGCCGGATCAACTCCGGAATATATTTGCAACATTTTCCTCCACCTCTCTAACCAATCAGTAGGAGACTCATCTTTCTCCTGATGTTCACTAAAACCTTTATTAATATTCTGTCCTCTCGCAACTGCCTCCCTAGTCCCTTGTATAATAATTTCTCTCAAGTCCGTCATCTTTTGTCTGTCCTGACCATTTTGATTATTCCAATGGGGATTCTGATTAGGCCATTTTTGCTCTCTGGGAGAACCCTGCTGATGTTGTCTCTCTCAATTTCGCATTCCGGCTTGTCTAATCATAGAACTTTCTTCCGCAGTAAATAATATCCCCAATATTGACTGCATCTCTTCCCAGGTATAAATATTAGGACCTAAGAACTGATCTAATCATTCAGAAATCCCCAAAGGGTCATCTAATAACCGACCCATTTCCTTTCTAAAGGATCTTACATCGCCGGTGTTCAGAGGTACTGCTACAAATCCAATCCCTCCTACATTTCCTCCCATTGGAACCTCTCAGAGGGGAAATAAAGTTTCTCTTTCTCCTATTTTCTCTTGTGGATCTTTATCCTCCCGTATTTTTGTCTTACTTCTAGTACGACTGGAGGGAGGGGGAGAAGGGGGAGAAGGGGGAGCCATTGGAGTAGAATCGGGAGATAACGAAGGATAAATACCGTCTCCACTATTTTCCAAGTTCTGTCTTTGATAAGGGGGTGGTAAATTATCCAACGGCTCCCATGATGGTTTATTTGTTTTCTCTGCTTTTCCTTTCTTCTCTCTTAGGGGAAATAGAGAAACTGCTGCAAATGATCCTTTCCATAATGCGGCATAATCACTTTCCTCTTGATTAAAGGGTTCCTTGACATTTACATATGAATTTAAAGCCTGACAAATCCAATCATCAAAAGTCCCAAATATTGGCCAATATAAATGGTCCGGCCAAATTTCCTCTTTAGTCCATACTTCCATACAGTAATGGACCATTCTCTCCTTACTCTTCCCCTCTTGGGATGGCCAAAAGCCCCAGTTTTTAATTACCCCCAAGGGACTGTCTGGGGGTATTTCTGGTAATTTGCTCCCTGCTTTATTCTTGGGACCTCTCCATGGGCCCCTTCCTGGGTTAGAGCTATGACTTTTACTGTAACCCATTTCCCGCTGAGTGTGTCTCCATTCAGTTGATCTCTATCACTTCCCTCCTTCAGTGGCCAAGTCCCTCGTGGGAGATTGGAAACGCGCTTAGAAGAGGTCCACACTCGCTTCACAGATCTCGATGCCCTGGCCTGTATTTCACAGGTCCAGGTACCCAGTCCGTGTCTCAATTGTGCATAAACACAAATCACCAAGCACTCCGTCTCTTCACCAGCCAATTCTCTCGGGGGGGGGTGGGATCACGGTTAGAGGAAAACATCTCAGTCACATGCACACACCGGCTTTCCCACCCAACCGAACAAGACTTACAGTCCGTTGTTCTCGTCCAGGTCTTTGTGCACAAGAATTACAGGTAATTTATACTGCAGTTTTCCAGGGAGCTCGAATTCCTTGGTTACTGCCTCTTTGTTTGTTGATCTCTCGAGACTGCCCAGGGCTACCGCTCCCGAGCCACAAGTTGTGGGGCGCCCCTCATAAGAGCTATAGTCCCAGGCAGCCACACAGAGATCACACTGGGGTCACCAATTTTGTTATAAAAACCTCGTCTAGCCAATCTGGTTTAACTAATTTTTATTATAATTAATATCAAGAGGCAATAAGCAAGCAGTGCTGGGTGCGCCGGGGAGTCTCCACTCCACCAAAGATGCAGGCGGGGAACTTCTGGGGATAGTCTCTTATACTTTTCGGTCTTGGGTTTCAGCCAATCCTGTTGTCTTCTTTTGCTGGGCTTCTTGGGTTTCAACCAATCCTGTTGTCTTCTTTTGCTGGGCTTCTTGGGTTTCAGCCAATCCTGTTGTCTTCTTTTCCCAGGCTTTTCCTCCTGTTGCTGGGGTCTTATCTCCAGGTGAAGAAATATCTTAGAAAGGTTACTAAACGTCTTGGTAATGCATTAACAGGAAGATGTCTGTCACGAGTCTGACCGCCATCTTAGCCCCCATAAATTCCACTCCTTATATGTTTATTTGTTCAGCACATAGATTTCACAACGTTCTGTAACAGGACATATCTCTACATTACCACCCCACCCCCCACCCCCCCTTTTAAGAACATTCATACAATTAAACAAAGAACAAAACATTTCCTTGCACAATATTGCGGTTGACCCAGGGGAATTATTCCCTTGTTTCTTCTTCCTCCTCACTGTGGTATTGACAGGAACACTTATCATACCCTTTGCACATAGCACAATGATCACAAGGGATCTCCACACAAAGTGCAATGATCACTAGGACCCCTGAGTTGCTGACATGAATCACTCTGATGTAGCTCACACAGGATAATTTTTTTTTTTTTTTTTGCCATCTTAAGGGTTGCTTCAGATCCTGTAGTGCAATCCCTGTGGATTGCCTGTCTAAACTGCAAGAATTTATACAATCTTACTACCTTCAGTTTTTCTGGTAGTTCAAATGAAGAATTTAATATGTTTATCTAAATCAAGAAGTAATCTTACCATAACAGGTTGATAATACTTTTGAGTCTTGCAGTTTGCTTTCTGGTCATGCATTACTTAGATTTGTTTCAAGCTGACTAGAAACAAAGGTCTGAGCTTACAAAAGAGGCAAGTATTTCTTGAAAATCTGGGTTGCTCAAGGGCTTTGGGGATTGCTTTTAATTATGCCCTGATCCATATTGTAAAAGTCTCATTCCTCCCATTATAGTGTATGAAGTGAATCAGCCTTGACTGCTAGTTAGCTCTGTGAATTTTGGGCTAGCCCTTAAGTACTGTGTGACCTTAGCAAAGAGACCAAAAGAAAAGAATTTTCCCACCATTTTAGTGTCCACAATAGACCACTTTTACAAGATGGGAATGTTTTTTAAAAGGAACTCTCGGGAGAAAAAATGTCTTGAAAATGCATGTCAGGTATCTGTTACAAATTGTTACAGAAAAGAAAATGTGCCACCAGAAAACTCTATGAACTGAGCGCCTAGTTTTGGGGTTGAAAACTAATTTAGCCATTTTGATGGCAGCACTTGGAGACAACCTGTGTGACACGGCCCTAGCACTCTGCGACTGCATACGAGGAAGGAAGGTAGCAGGAGCGTGGTGCAGGACTAGCTCTGCTGTCTGCATTGTCAGACTGGGAAGACAGCTGGTAAATGTACCTTCTCTGTGCTTCTAGTTTCCATGTGAAGTTTAGCATTGCTATTTCGTTCTAAGCAGGTGTGAAAGCCAAAAGCTTGATATTGAAATAAGGAGTCTGATACAGAAGAGTAACACTTGCCAGCCCGGTGAGGACTCCAAACCTGCTGCCCAAGAGAGTGCAAACCCTCAGGAAACTTAATGTTCACTTAAGGTAAACACAGGCTGCTTTTGCAGTGTTTATCTGCCAGGAAAGAAGATTCAGGGGTTATTCCCTGGGTGACTTGATTTAGATTTTTGAAATGATGCAATGAACTTGCTACACGTTTATTTTTTTCTGATACAGCTTCTTTCTGTTATGAGGAAGACCGAGCGAGAAGGTATGTTTTATAGTGCTTTAAAGTCATCTAAACCCACTGATGATCCAAAGTGTCAGACGCTGTAGCCAGTTGTGCTTTTTGGATTGTGCTTTTTGTCTCTAAATTGGAGAGACATCAGTATGATAGATGGACCACTCAGTGGATAAAAAAACTGGCTGGATGGTTGCACACAAAGAGTTGTGGTCAATGGCTCTATGTCCAGTTGGAGACCAGTAATAAGTGGTATCCCTCAGGGATCGGTGTTGGGACCGGTCTTGTTCAACATCTTTGTCGGTGACATGGACAGTGGGATTGAGTGCGCCCTCAGCAAGTTTGCCGATGACACCAAGCTGTGTGGTTTGGTTCATACCCTGGAGGGAAGGAATGCCATCCAGAGGGACCTTTACACACTTGTGAGGTGGGATGATGCCAACCTTATGAAGTTTAACCATGACAAGTGCGAGGTCCTACACCTGGGTCGGAGCAATCCCAGGCATAGCTACAGGCTGGGCAGAGAAGAGATTCAGAGCAGCCCTGCAGAGAAGGACTTGGGGGTGTTAGTCAATGAGAAACTGAATGTGAGCTGGCAGTGTGCACTCACAGCCCAGAAAGCCAACCGTATCCCGGGCTGCATTAAAAGGAGCATGACCAGCAGGTTGAAGGAGGTGATCCTGCCCCTCTGCTCTTGTGAGACCTCACTTGGAGTATTGTGCACAGTTCCGTTGTCCTCAAGATAAGAAGGACATGGAGCTGTTGGAGCAAGTCCAGAGGAGGCCACGAGAATGATCAGGGGACTGGAGCACCTCCCATATGAAGATAGACTGAGAAAGTTGGGGCTGTTCAGCCTGCAGAAGAGAATACTGCATGGTGACATTATAGCAGCCTTCCAGTATTTGAAGAAGGCCTACAAGGATGCTGGGGAGGGACTTTTCATTAGGGACTCCAGTGATAGGACAAGGGGTAATGGGTTCAAACTTAAACAGGGGAAGTTCAGGTCAGATATAAGGAAGAAGCTCTTTACTGTGAGGGTGGTGAGGCACTGGAATGGGTTGCCCAAGGAAGTTGTGAATGCTCCACCTCTTGCGGTGTTCAAGGCCAGGTTGGACAGAGCCTTGGGTGACATGGTTTAGTGTGAGGTGTCCCTACCCATGGCAGGGGGGTTGGAACTTGATGATCTTAAGGTCCTTTCCAACCCATAGAATACTTATTCTATGATTCTGTAACACAGATTCACAAAAGTGTATACCCTAAGAGTCCTGACATTTCTTTAGGTTGTTGTGTTTGGTAGTTCTGACTTAACTGAGCAGGTGTATGCAGAACAAAGATCTTTGGGAGTTTCAGAAAGGTTCTCGGATAAATAGTAAGAGAGAAGTAAAAAACTGATGATTCAGACCCATGCTTCTGTGGTACTACATACAGAAAACTGTGAGTCACCTGCTAAGACGATAGGTAGTCTTTGCTTGCAGTGTATGAAGACAGGCTGAGGAAGTTGGAGCTGTTCAGCCTGGAGAAGAGAAGGCTGCGTGGAGACCTCATAGCAGCCTTCCAGTATCTGAAGGGGGCCTATAGGGGTGCTGGGGAGGGACTCTTCATTAGGGACTGTAGTGACAAGACAAGGGGTAACTGGTTAAAACTTAAACAGGGGAAGTTTAGGTTGGATATAAGAAGGAAATTCTTTCATGTTAGGGTGGTGAGGCACTGGAATAGGTTGCCCAGGGAGGTTGTGAATGCTCCATCCCTGGCCGTGTTCAAGGCCAGGTTGGACGAGGCCTTGGGTGATATTATATAGCGTGAGGTGTCCCTGCCCATGGCAGGGAGGTTGGAACTGGATGATCTTAAGGTCCTTTCCAACCCTAACAATTCTATGATTCTATGAAGCAGCAGTTAATAAACACGACAGAAACTTCTTCAAGGTTTCCCTCTTAGTTTCCCTCTTCTCCTCTGAAATAGCAAGCTGGGTTTTATCATGCAGTAGAAGGGCAAAAGGAAATTCCCATTTTCTGTAAACTGGGAAAAGGAGGAGAGAGAGGTGTGGAGGAGTGGTTAAGCCATGAATGCCATGTACCTGCAAGAGATGACACTTACTTGCCTATGTGACTCCACTATGGGGCTGGGGAAAGGAAACCTCCGAAGACTGCACCCTGGGGCGAGATGGAGGAAATTAATGAGGAGGTAAAACTGAGATAACTCTCTTCTATGAAATCCAAAATTACATGTAACATTTTTCACATGTAAACTGCCATCTCCAAAGTGACTCATGACTTCAGGGCATGCATCTGAGCTGAGCCTTAGGAGATGCCCCAGAATCAGATTAGTGGGATTAGAAACTGTGAGAGAGAAGTCACAGGAAGGAATGGGGATTCCTGGCTGCAGGGGAGGAATAAGCATGGTGAAACGGAAGTCAGCCCATAATCAAGCAACATTGAGCTATGAAATTTCAGGGCAGAACAGCAAGCCACAAATAACCTGTGGTGTCACCTGATTCCCCATGTTAGCCTCCCACCAATAGAAGGAGATGTGTAGGAAATTATTTGGGGCGTGTGGGGAGGAAAAAGGATGTAGTCACCTCAACTGTTTCTGTGGAGTGCTTCAGCAGTTTGAACACAATACCATGGCAGTATTTAATCTGTAGTGGTTTTGTGCTTTTTGCATTTATAGTACTTGTTTGCTTGTGGAAGGTTTGTGTATGGTTTTCATAGCTTAAAGGAAGAAGGTTTATGATATTCCTGCACTAGAAACATGCCTTTTTTTAATATATATATACTTTTAAGTCAAATAGCTTTTCACTTGGCTGGTTATTGAATTATACTTCAAGTGACAGCTTGACAGTTGTGATAAGCTCGTACAGCCTCAGTGTAAGATGGTAGTTAGTATGTGTGTCAGACTGTGTTGTTTGGAAAAGGAGCTAATGTTTTTCGTGCCTGTTATACTTTCAGTTAGAAGGGCTATAAAATAGTATTTAAAGCAAACAAACAAAAGGCAGAAAATCTCAGTTCATGAAATTAGATACTGATTTAGACTTAAAGGGAAAAATCTATATTTAGGAATTAGGAAAAAGTTAATAATGAAACAAAAGTGTACCCTCCTCTGTAGTGCTGTCCCTCATCAGGAAGTTATTTGTCAGAGCCAGCAAGTAATTTCTATTCTGTAACTTTTTTCTGGAGTGAAGAGTACAAATTGCATGCTGCAAAATGGCATTTCCTTCTGAGCTTACATTGCTTTTGAGCCTGTTATCTGGAAAAGGCTGTAAACAAATTCCCTTTTTCACCAGGATTTTTTTCTATATAAATATACAACGTCATTGTGACTCTAGAGGCAAATAATTTGAGAAAGTGCAGGTCTGCAGAATGAACTAGTTCTTAGCACATATTTCAGCCTATGATTCCTTTATCTATAGTACTTTAACTGCAGCTTGTTTTGATGCTATTTTTCCCACTCTGGGAGAGGGAAATGAGGGAGGAGATTACAAAGAAACATCTGTGCAGGTCACAGCCTGTTGGTGTATTTGTGTCCCTGACATCCACATATGTTCCACTGGTCTAATGTAAGGGACTTGGTGTCTGTCCCTATATGTAGTTTGTCTATGTGGTAAACTGATTTTCAAATGTTAATCTCAAATGAGAGGTGAGACTTAAGAGTGGCGTCATTATTTTACACTGATTAAAGCTCTTCTCAGTTTAATGAAATGTTTTTACTTTTGCTAAAGCCATGGACCAAAAAAAGGGAAGCATATGATGAAATCATCTACTGATTAGAGCAATTCACATCTACTTACCTATTCCCCCTGTTTTATGCAACATCACTTATTGCTGCAGTTTGCAGCAGGAGTGCATGTGAATGAGGACTGCAAGCTCCAGTCTTGCAGAAGCCATAGGCTGTGAAAATACCTGCTCTCAGAACATTCTGTTTTCTGTTGAGGGGGAAGCTGAAGGCCAAAAGGATCAAGCAATTTGTTATTTTAATATATGAAATCAAAGAAACATATTTCTTACCACAAAAAAAAAAGCAGCTTCCTTTTCCAAATGTAAGTATATAAAGCTGATTGCATTCCTGGAAAAAGCTAGGCTCAATATTATGCATAAAAATTCAAATACTGCTAAAAAATATTCCTGCAGAGCGTTTTCATTGTGTTTAGAGCTTCATCAAGATTTTACACACAAGAAGGATGTTTTGGGGGGGAGGTGAGGGTGGATAAAAGTGTCAAATAGGAAGCGAATAATAGCAACTAAAATAATCAGCAGTGTGTCAACATAAATTAACGATAATAATATATTTAATGGGATGACCTGGTTAAAAACCCCAAAACAACCGATGAAGTTTCAATCACCTGAACAGTTCTGGTGTGAAGTGAGAGCTAAACCAAAAATCATTTAAGTGCTATCTGTACTTGTAACAACTCTGCTGTAAAACTAAAAATAGCCTGTTTGCTACAGTTACAAACTATTATCCAATCATCGTTCTATGAAACTGGGATTTCATCATCAGGCCTGAGTTTGCAAATGCTCAGGTACTAGAGTAGCTGTGCCTTGATGGTTAGTCTCATTGGTGATGGTGGAAAACAGTGGATAAAGGAAATCCTGAAGCAGAAGCCTGTCCTGTTTTACTTCCTCTGAAATGGCATCTCATTCCAATTGCATTTGGTTCCCACGTATTGAGGCACACATCTATATCTGCACGTTTCTCTCTCAGAGCAGGTACCTAACTGAACAGCACGAAAGCCTGAAGCTGGCCTACTTAAGGGAAAATCCCTTTTGCTTTTCTGGGTGAAGCATGTGGACTACATTTAGACAGGAAGAAATAGATTGTTATGGTTTAGGAGCTGCTTTTATTCTTCAGCTAAAATCTCGGGTTTTAT